AAGATTAACGAAATAGTTACATAAAAATGTATAACTTAATAGATGACTGGAATGACCTCATATTGATGTCCGGTTAAGGACTGTCTATTCGCAGTATTTCATATGATCATTTAGATACTGCGATAGCAACAACAATAAACAATAAAATTAAATCGTAGTAAAAATAAACAAAAAATAAAATCAATATCTAAATAATTTGGTATTATTCCTTTATTTTTAGTAACATGACATGTAAAAAATAGTTCTGTCTATTTCAAAGACTGTTTTAATTCAAGTTAATAGAAGAACCGGAAATGTGTTGTTTAGTTAATTTGTACACACTACCGACTGACAGCAAGTGTCAGATTACGATTTACTCAATAACGGCCAACTTCATATTTCTTTCTTTTTGACGTGCTCTTTCAGAAAAATCGGTGTGTAATTTCTAAAATAATCAAAAAATATTTATAACATCATAGGTTTTATAATATTTTGTGTCAAATAATAAGAATTTATAATACAAATAATGTACTTTGTGCTGAAATCTATAATCATTTTGGATGAATTTTTGATAATGGAAAAACTTGTTGACAAAAGTTGTTTTTGATGTGAAAAATGCTAATAAGAGCAATTTATATTTTATATTCATAGTGTAAAGATGACGATCCGCCCCGCATACAGGCCCAAAATTGTGAAGAAGCGGACCAAGCACTTCATCCGCCATCAATCGGACCGCTACGCAAAGCTTTCGGTAAAATTGGTCAAATAATATGTTTTTAATTGAATAAAACATTTTTTTTTTTTATTCTTTCAGCATAAATGGCGAAAACCAAAAGGTATTGACAACAGAGTACGTCGCCGTTTTAAGGGTCAGTACCTGATGCCTAACATTGGTTATGGTTCCAACAAACGTACCCGTCATATGCTGCCAACTGGCTTCAAGAAATTCTTGGTACACAATGTTCGTGAGTTGGAGGTGCTGTTAATGCAAAATCGTGAATATTGCGGAGAAATCGCTCACGGCGTATCTTCCAAAAAGCGGAAGGAAATTGTTGAGCGCGCCAAGCAGCTGTCAATTCGTCTCACCAATCCCAACAGTCGCTTGCGATCACAGGAGAACGAATAAACTTAAGTTTGTCGCTGTTCTTTTAATTTTCGCCAACTTAAATATAAAATCTGAAATTTAAGTAATTTTTTTATCGAGTATTCATATAACTACAATATACGCATAGTCCGTTTATGCATGACATCCAAATTGCTTATTTGTTCGTCCGTTTATCGTATGAAAACTTGCTTTAAATTGGTGAGTCAAGTGATAATTCAAAACTCGAAAAATTAATTTAGTGAGTTGGTGTATACATATGTATATATGGTAGTGTTTATTAAAAACTGCTCGCGAAACATAATAGAATTTCTAATCTTGACCATATAAAAGAAATTTTTTTTCGGACCCCATGCATTAATTTCCAGTTAAGAGCTGCCTCCGAAATTTTTTTAATTTAAAACAATTAAGGAAGGGCATAGTTCGGATGTAAATTTTAACTGCACATGCCCCTACCTAATGTGATCCTGTGTACCAAATAACAGTCTTGTATCTTATTGCGGAGCTTAGTTATGGCAATTTATTTGTTTTAGATTAATGGCGTTTTGTGGGCGTGGCAGTGGTCCGATTACGCCCATCTGCAATACCAACCGTCTGACGGTACCAAGACCATGTCTACCAAGTTTCATAAAGATATCTCAATTTTTACTCAAGTTAGAGCTTGCTCGGACGGACGGACAGACAGTCACGGATTTCAACTCTTCTCTTCATCCCGATAATTTATATATATATATACCCTATATCTAACTCGATTAGTTTTAGGTGATACAAACAAACGTTAGGTGAACAAAACTATTATACTCTGTAGCAACAGGTTGCGAGAGTATAAATATAGGGAAAATTGTATGCTCTCAACAAATTGGTTCCGCCCTAGATGTTAGTTTATTAAGGGACGTACCATGTTTTCCTCACCCCATCTTCAAGTTCTTACGGTACGGTTGTTTAGAAATAAAAATCGTTGTAATATTTATTAGAATATCTTTATAAAAGAATAAGCATGTAATTTATTGGTTGTTATCATCACCTAAAATAACATCATGATCGCTTTCCAAATGTTTCTCCAAATTTTCTTTATTTTCAAATGATCGGCTGCAAATTACACAGCTAAACTCTTTCTGGGGAGATGTGTCAAATTTCGAGATTAGCGTAGATACGGCTAACTTAGTTTCGTTAAGTTCCTGCTCGTCAAATAGTTGTGCCATTTTTAAGCGGGTAGATGGAAGTTCAATATTATGTGATTTCATATGCATTTTTAGCGTATAACGTTCGGTGAAGGACTTTGAGCAGTGTGTGCAATGGTGTCGTGGCCTATTTTCTTGGTGAATAAGCATGTGATGATTATACGTTTTTCTTGACCTAAATGACTGGTTACATATACTGCAAATAAGCGGATTTTCTTCGGCCTCATGACGCATACGATGATTGTAAAGCATATTATCTAAAGAAAATCGTTCTCCACATTTTTCGCATTGATATTCCTTTTTGTCCCAATGTTTACGCATGTGGCGTAATGTATTTACTGGTCTAGTGAAGCGTTTATCACAGTACCGACACTCGTACTCTGTCTTACCTTCATGCAGATTCATATGTAATTCCAAATATTCTTGATCTCTACGGACTACACCACAGACAGGGCAAACAAATTGTTTTATGTCATGCGCTGAGTTTATATGCCTTTGAAGTTCAGATTTCGTTTTAAAAATTAATCCACAAACAACACATTCCTGACTCTTCTCCCCAAACATTTTATCAGCGTTCCATTCATCCTCATCATCATTAAAGTCTTTGTCACTGTGCATGCTTTCATCATCTTGAATTGTGCTTTCAACACTTTCCTCATTTCCAACTATTTCTATAAATTCTTCTTTGGCCTCCATACCAGGATCAAAGGCATCTTCTACCTGACCATCGTCTTCAACGATCATTGCTTCAGCAATAGACTCTTCATAATCGATCAGTTCTAACTTCAGTTCGCCAGATAAAACCGACCGTAATCTTTCAGTTAAACGTTTTTGAAATGAAAGCAGATTAACCATTAAATTATCATATTCGGCTAATTCATCGCAACATTCCAAACAAATACTTGCGACTCCTTGAAATACCAGATTTGTTTTTACACAATGGGCAAGGTGTTGTAATACGACCTGAACTGGTTTTCCAGAAGCCGGCACTTTGCATGTTTCAATATTTTGGAATGTTTGATTCGAATGTTTATCTGGTTTACCACACAAGAAGCAATATTCGCTGGTTAATTCTCGAATGGTACTTCCAGTGTCAGTGAAATCAACTTCAGCCTTAGGTTTTGCTGGAAATGTAAAATGTCAGTATGTGGTTATTGCTAATATTTTGTTTTTATGGAATAATTTATTACAGGTTCTCTACAAAAATCTTTGAAATTGCATTGATTGTTTTCTATTTGTTTAGAAACTTTATGTTTAATTAAAATACGAGAGGAACGCCCAATATTCTTCCTTCGTGTACTTGTATCAGAGAATGTAAAATATAATCTACATTCTCTGCTTGTATGTAGGTATCAATTAATGTACACAATATGGAATTGGATCTCATTGAAGCATAATTTAATAAAATGTTACGCAAAACTCTGGCAAACATACAGGCATAAACTAATAAGATAAATTGTCTATATTTCAATTTAAAACAGAACAGGTGATTGTTTCTCATTTAAATTGACCGGTTAAATTTATTATTATAATTTCATAGAAGTCGATTTCGACCTTTATCGATTTGGGTAAAGGCGACACATTAACTAACCACTGAAAAGTGGGGTTAGGGATGGTTAGTCGATATCCGATTTATAAGCTATATCCCCGTTTTATTTCAATTGTAAGATCGACTACTTATTTAAGTGATGGACAAATACCATAAACAACTATTGGAGCTGATAACATTTTAAGCCAGTAACTTTACCTGTGTCTATTCCGTGCATAGCTCTCAGATGAAACGAAAGTGTTGTCGTGCTTTTGTTGTATTTTAACAATTTATTACACTCTTTGCACTTTACTCTTCTCCCTTCGTCAACTTTGTCAAAATGCTGCCAAACTGCACTCACTCGCATTATATTAATTTAGGAGTCGGTTAAATTATTTTTATCATACACTTTACAAGCTATTCTGAAATAAATTTACGAAATATTGCAAACTAAGTAAATAACTGAATGATCGAACACCGCTGGCGGTAAGGGAACGAATGGAATTAATGAAACAAAGGATGGTATATCAGTGATAGAATGATGCCAAAAAATCACATCGCTTACATTTGCGTAGACTGTTTAAATGATAATGGGTAGCAATTGCCATCGTTGGTGTGGGACAAATTAATCTTTTCATTATAACTTATTGGCAATTTTTAATCGAATAGACAGTTAAGAACTGAACTATTACTAATCTCTGATGGCATACTTGTTGTCTGAACAGGCAATTTATGTTTACGCAATAATCTTATCCAAAGCAATATTGCCAACGAATGCTGCATATTTTTAATGAGTGATAAAAATTATAAATTACAAATTTTAAAGAGAACGTAGATAGATAGATAGATATGGATAGAGATATGCACCGCGACCTATGGTCTATTGTGCCCTCTCCTAAGTCACAACGACTCGTCTAGCCCAAGCATATAGATGAACTTTAATATACTGCTAGGTGCTAGTAAAGCGATGTGATCCCTGTTGGGAAACATGGATCCCAGGGCCTTAATTCTGCGCCTGCAGACTGCTGTGCAGTCCACTAGCAGGTGTTTTGTGGTTTCTGACTCCATGTCACTGAATAAAGAGAACATACATACATATAAATCCTAAATGTTCAATACATACATATACAGGCAAGGGTTATTGATTAATTAGTTACAGGAATTAAGCATTTTAATTTATGAAAAGAACTTTTGATTTAATTTGTTCTCATTTGAATTGAAATGGCAACATTGTTATGGCAAATTCTCTATCTCTGTTCGATAAATGAGCTTTATAATGCTTTATATCGATATTCGATAAAAGCGAAGTTTTGATAAACTCATTTATTAACATTTGTGCACAACAGTTGTTTTCGTTTTGATAAAAAATACGTTTTAATACATTTGGCAGTAATACGACTTATAGACAACAAATAAATATACGCACTGTTGGATGTGTTAAACTCACTGACGTCTGCAAAACAAACTTTAATATGCGTTGCCTTCTTTGCAGAGTGTTCTTAAATGAATGCGATGAAACTGAAGACATTAATAAAAAATCTCCTTTTTCGAGAAAGTCTTTCCATTCAATTGTTGAATATTTAGCGAAAACAGCTAAACCCCCTCTTGTTGCAACATGGACTAATCAATTCAATGATTGCTATATCTGTAAAACTTGCTACTATGATCTTGCATTATACGACGAGTATATGGTCAAATTGTTGGAAATACAAAAACGTATTATTTCATTTTTGCGGAATCCAGAGCTTAGCGACGAGCTTATAGCAATACAAGCGTTGGATGAATGCATAGAAGCTGGTAATGTAAAAATAGAAGAAATTGATATAAGTAATCAAAGCACGACCGGAGAGAGTTGTACTGGTGATGAAAATAATGATGATAAGACTTTTGTAGAAAATAGTGAAGATTTCAAGGATGTAGATGAAATGGTATCGAATATAATGAAAGACGCTCCCGTTAGAGTTCGCAAGTACAACGTTCCAGCTAAATGTGATATATGTAGTACAGTTTTCAAAAATAAAACACATTTGAATCGACATTTAAACGTTGTACATAAACCATCTAAACAAATTTGGAAATGTGAAGTTTGTGGTATTATCGCAAAGGATGAAGAATATTTGGAATTGCATAGAAATATTCACGAAGGAAGGTCTGATTTGGAATGTCGGTTCTGCAATAAACGTTACTCTCGCAAAATCAATGTTATTCGACATATGCACAAACATTGGGACAAAAAAAATTTTCAGTGTGAAAGATGTGGAATAAGGTTCTCTGAGTTACCAGTTTACTATAATCACAAATTGCAGCATGATGCTGAAGATGACCCGCTGATTTGTGCCATATGTAACCAATCATTCAAAACACGGCGTACTTATAGAAACCATTTATGGGTACATCGTGATGATCGACCACGTTATAGCTGTGAAATTTGCGAAAAGAAGTTTGTTGAAAAATATACACTCAAAGTTCACCTCAGATGTCATACTAATAAAGATGGAGAACGCAATGGGGGAAGAAGAAAAATTAAACCTTCGGTGCACCAGGAAGAAAAATCCTTCGAATGTGTTATATGCCGTGATCAATTTTCTTCCAAGGATATATGCAATCAACACATGAAAGTACAACACGATGTTATTTTAAAAGCGGATGACATACCACTTATTTGAAATAAATACAAATTCAGTAATTTTGGATATTTGTATATCTTTTTATTTGGTCATCGGCATATTCGTAAAGGAAAATATATAATTAGTGCAGATGGTGAAACTACTATTTAACATAGTACTAATTAGTAACTCTGTTCTGATCTAGTTCGCGTATTTATAAACGGACGGACATGTCTAAATCGACACAATTTATATATTGTCTCCGACAGTTCCTTCTGGGTGTTACAAACTTCGTGGTAAACTTAGTATACCCTGTTCAGCAGTGATGAACCACACTTACATATATAAATAAGTTAATATCTAAGACTTAAATTTAAATCAATGTAGTACTAATCTATAATTTACAAAATTTACTGATGAATTAATTGTTGTTTTTTAAAATGTACTCGTGTGAACATATTTAAGATGATAGTCTAAATTTGCTTGTGCACTGAACATTTGACCGCATATATGACAAGCTTTCTTTGACTCGTCATCGACTACATCAAATTCAGAAAAATTATTGATCGTTAAGGATTTAATTATAACGTCATGCTCTTTCTCCATATGTTTATTTAGATGATCCTTAGCTGTAAATATTTGATCACAAATTACACAATTGAATTTGATATCTTGGGTTTGCACTTCTTCATTCTCTGGTGGGGTATTTTGTTGCTGCTCCTTTGCTTGTGCAACGTCGCTGGAATCCATGGCTTCAGGATGCGCACGTTTGTGAACTTTAAGGGTATATTTTTCAGTAAACGTTTTAGTGCAATATTCACATTTATAACGAGGCCGGTCCGCCCGATGTGTAATCATATGATGACGGTACGTGCGCTTTGTTTTAAAAACTTGTGAACAAATCTCACACTGAAGTGGTTGTTCTTCAGCTTCGTGTTGTAGTTTATGATTGTACAACACTGTTGTTTGTGAAAAACAAAGGCCGCACTTATCGCATTGATACTTTTTTGAATTGAAATGTACTTCCATATGACGAATTGTGCTAATTTTTGTGGAAAATTCTTTGTCACAAAAACGACATTGGTTCTCATTTCGACCATCATGTGTGTTCATGTGTAGCATTACGTACTCTTCATTACGATGACTGTAATTACACAATTCACATTTAAATTTCTTATGTACATTTGTTATATGCTTTTTTAACCCCGATTTGGTTTGAAATCGCATGGCACAAAAATCACACTTAGTCCCAACCGCACGATTTCTTCTATTTATTCCACATGAACTTATTGAATGATTCTCCGATTTTTCTGCAATAGCATCATCTATAGTTTGCGCAATTTCAGAATCAGATATTTGAGCATCGTCAAAGAAATGGTCATTGGTCAATTCGTCCAGTGCGCTCATATCCGAATCAAATTCATTATCAAAGTCTGAATCAATTCCCAAAACTGCTTTTTCTATTAAATCAAGAAGGGCGCGTTGCTTCTTTAAAGCTTTCATAAGATAGGTGTCGTATTCCACTACATCAAAATGACATGTTATACAAACAGATTCGCCATAGCCAATATGTAGCTCAGAATTCGCGTGACGGGCCAAGTAAGATAATACATCCCTAAAGGATTTCTTTGATGCGGGACATGCACTGCTGTCGACGAGTCTCTGATTTTGCGTAGATAAGATTTTCCTCCGACATAAAAAACACTTTTTTTGATAACTTTCTGAATTCCCAGCGTTCATTTTTATTTGCTTTTGTAAGCGAGATGCTCCAATTAGTACAAATTTGTATAATTTGAAATGTGTATAGAGAATATTAAAATAGGAGCTGTAAAAATATCAACAATCTTTGTGGTGTCAGTCATTGATGAGGGTCTATTTGTTATTGCATAATCGACTAAAGCTTATCGATATTGTTAGAGCTGTGTAAATTGACAAAAGAAAACAATTCATTACAATCCAATTGTTAAATTTTTATTTAGGTATTTGTCATTCGAAATAGCTTTAGTTTAGTAGTTAGTATATTAATCTTTGTGGCGGCAGAACTGTTCCTTGTAATAAACAGCAACTGTGATTTGTAAACTTCGTTCCAAGAACTGGTTGTTATGTTTTCCTGTGTGTGCAAATGCCTTAAGTTCGACTCGTTGGATTGGTTTACTTGGCAGCACTTTCGTTTTGACATTGTATAGAATTACTCTACAGTCAAGTCACTCGTTTTTCTCATATATTTGCTGTCGACAATTTTCGGTGGTTGGAATAAAATATAGATTTTTTTAATATATTTTCCGAATCATTTATAAAAGTTCTACAATTTATTAATATATTTTTTTTAATTACAACCGTATTAGTTAAATATGGCTGCTTTATTGGCTCGGACGGGTATTTTGAATGAAATCGTAAACCCAAAGGTTGGGCAAAAGGTATGGTGGATTTTTTGGCAAATTTTTTTTACATAATTGTTGAGATTTCGCTCTTGTTGTTGGGTAGAGAAGGTGAAGGTAGGAGACTTCACTTGCAAGGTTTAAAAAGTTTGATCAACTGTTGACTATCAAATTCTCAGCTGATTCCGTCTTTATGGTTCATTATGAGTGACATAATTAGTCTCATGTAATTATTGTATTTTTTAATTAGGAAATGTAACGTTTTAAATTTATTTATGTGGAAACGTAAACAAATATACACATACACTCATATTAATCCATGTATCTATTAGTTTAATGTAGTTTAAAATTCTCCTCTTTTCAGATTCTTGCGCTTGCGACCAGTGGAAGTCTGCAGAAAAGGAACCTTAATGTTCAAGAACATGTCTCATACACTTTACTTAATGGAGCAGGTATCCCAACCCCAAAGTAAGTTAATAAATATCTAAATATGCATATACATATATAACCTGATATCTTTATTTATCCTAATATTCAACCCATTTTAAATTTTTTCCAAGGGCGGTGTTTGTTTTGTATTAACTCAAAGACAAATAATGCGTAATGAAAAGCGCTGCTTCATACATAATAAACTCAATCAATTACGTAATTTTAATTAGTTCCTTATCAACTACATCAGTAGAGTTGTGGTGCGAAATGAGCAATTTTAGCAAACTTTGCACCTAGATTGATATTTACTGATTGGCATACATATAAGAGTAATTTCATGGAGATGTGTAAATTGACACTAAACAAAATGTAATAAATATCTATGCGTTTACTTAAAGCTCCATAAATCAGAATATATTAAATTATGTTTACAAACGAATATTTAAGTTGTTTACATCATATTACGTAGGCATATGTTATCTTTATAGTTGAATACGTCACGTTGACTGCGATTACGTTCTATTAGCACTGATAATTTTTGTACATTCTGAATCATTTTTTCAGGTTTGGTGTAGCAAAGTCTGGTCAAGAAGCTAAAGAAATTGCCCAAAAACTTGACACGAATAATCTTGTGTTGAAAGCGCAAGTTTTAGCTGGTGGACGTGGTAAAGGTCATTTTAAAAATGGCTTAAAGGGTGGTGTACGCGTTGTCAATACGTAAGTATTCGATTTAATAAAATTTATATCGGCAAATATATACCTATACTTTTTTATCGCAGACCTACTGAAGCGCAAGAAATTGCCAGCAAGATGGTGAATCAACTTTTAGTAACCAAGCAAACTGGCGCTGCTGGTCGCATCTGTAATTCTGTTATGGTTGCGGAGCGTAAATTCCCACGCCGCGAATTCTATTTTGCCGTTATGATGGAGCGCGCCTTTAATGTTTGTATATAAATATGTTGCCATTTAAAATTATTCATTTGAAATCTACCCGAAAAAGGGTCCAGTTATCATTGCTTCGTCTCAAGGTGGTGTTAATATTGAGGAAGTGGCTGCAGAAAATCCTGATGCTATTGTTTATGAACCAATTGATATTAAGGTTGGATTGACACCTGATCAAGCAGCTAAGGTGGTGAATTCCGTTGGTTTGGGCGAATTCCAAGAGGAAACCGTAAAAATGCTAATGAACATGTATCAGCTGTTCGTAAAGAAGGACGCTTTACTCATTGAAATTAATCCTTATGCAGAGGATGCTCTCGAAGGCTGTAAGTATTTTGTGAAAGCATAGAAACCTCATCAATTTCTTTTGTAATTTTATCTAATATAATCATTATTAACAAAAATACCCATGCCTTCATCAATCAATTTCGAAATGGAATTAACGTGAACAAATTAAAAAAATGCATATCTTTTTATCAAACATTTTGTAATGCCACAATAACTGCAGGTTCCTGTAAGTAATATGCCTTAAACAAGTAATCACAAGTACTTTTCGGTTTCTGTTATATTAAATAGCTGTTTGCAATCGACAGTTTTCATTAGTTCTAAAATAGTTCTTATGTAATTTAATCATCTGCTTTTTATTGCATGCCTTTTACATAAATTCACATAAAACACATAATGACATTAAAGCAGATTTAACATATTCGAACATTAAATATATTCAATTAAAAATTGTCATTATTGATTTATTAAAAGTAACTAAGTACTAGCAAATATGAAAATTAATTTATAAAACTTAACGGTGCACAAAAGTTCATTAGCAAACTTTAAACTGTATATATTCGTATAAATTAGTTTCATTCCACTTCTGATATATAACTTTCAAGTTAAAGGCACTATATTATATTTAATATAGAGTTTTTTTTAAACTCCATAACTTTCTTTTCAACTTAGTCTTCGCATTGGATGCTAAATTCCGTTTTGATGATAATGCTGAATTTCGTCAGAAGGAATTGTTTGCATTACGTGATTGGACCCAAGAGGACCCCAAAGAAGTGGAGGCAGCTAAATTCGATTTAAACTACATCGCTTTAGACGGTACTATCGGCTGCATGGTTAACGGAGCTGGTTTAGCCATGGCCACTATGGATATTATTAAACTCTACGGTGGGGACCCAGCTAATTTCCTTGATGTCGGTGGCGGCGCAACCGCACAAGCTGTGAAGGAAGCCTTCAAAATTATTACTGCCGACCCAAAAGTTCACTGTATTCTAGTTAACATTTTCGGTGGTATTATGCGTTGTGATGTTATTGCCGAGGGCATTATTGCTGCCGCCAAAGATTTGAATATGAAAATGCCAATTGTAGTTAGACTGCAGGTAAGCACAGATGGTTGACTTCTTTGAATATAATCGTTTCGGTACAAATAATTATTATTATGTATTTGTTTAAGGGCACAAATGTGACCGAAGCACGAGAATTGATTCGTCAATCAGGTTTGAGGATTATACCACGTCACGATTTGGATGAAGCTGCCAATTTGTCTGTGCATTTGGCTCAGATCGTTCATTTAGCGCGAGAAATGAACATGGATGTTAGCTTCGAGATCCCAGACAGTGTGAAGTAGATATTCAAGTTTTTTTCAAATAAAAGTAGTTCAACATTAGCAACACATACACGTCGAGAAAAAAACCACATACGAAAATATATATAATATACGAAGCATAACAACACCATGCAATTTATAATACGTATTAAAATTAAGATTGACCTTTTATGGTTTGCAAAAATTGTTAAATGATTTTAAGTGAAAGGTTGCGAAAATTTTAAATGCACAATATTTGTTATGATGTTACCGATGTTAAGTATGTATATGTTAAAGTTGAAACTTTACTGAGTTATGGCGCAATTTTTGCAAATTACTATGTTAATCGCTTTTCTTATACTTTCCTTTTAATTTGATTCTCATTCGTTCTATTTGCTATCTTAAAGATGGACATACGTAGTTGCAGTTGCCACTAAGCAACTTGTAGTATATTATTTTTTATTATCACTTTAAAATAATTTATTGTATCTACATATACCTAGATAAAATCACATTGTTGAACAATTAAATTGCATCGAAAACAGCTGTTTTAAACAGATATCAAACTAATTGAAAATTCTAATTCGAAATTAGCAAAAAGCCTGCTCCGAAAGGTGGTAGTGATGAAGGCGGCAGTCCCATTTGCAAACCCAAGAAAAAAATCACTTGTGACAAAAAACCGAAATGAATTAAGTGTTTACTATGGAATTTTCATTTATTTTTTCAAAATTTTATGTATTCGTTTGCACATTATATCAAAAACAATTTATTAAACAAGTTTTCGACTCCATAAAAACGGGTATGTTTTAGTTGTTATTTGGTGAATCATTTATTTTAGAACCTATCAATCAATGAAACGATATGTGATTGTTCTTGTTCCTTCCAATCGGCATCACCGTCGTCGCCCAAATTCCCGGCGTATTCTATAAATTACAGTTTGTTTTATTTAAAGAAGTGTTGAGCATGAAATAATGAGTACCAACCTCGCATAACATTCCGGATAGTTTTCATTGATGAACCGCGTAAATTCAAAATCTGTACAACTCGTTGTTTTACCGTATCCGCAGTAGCTGATACTTCTAAAATAATATAGTCTATCCGCTGCAGCGTGAAAAGTCCACCAGTCAGTCGCTTGATGTAATTATTTTCAGCTTCCTCATCTTCATCGATTTCAGTATTCTAAATTAAAACATGTTTGCGTCTGCTTTGAGATTCTTAAATAATTGTCATAACCTAGTTACCTTCTCTTGTTGATCTATTTCTCGGTCTACGATTTCTACTTTTTCCAAGTATTTCAAATGCAACTCTAGCAACCGATCTACTTTTTCATGGTCATTCTCGGTGAATTTCGATAGCAGTCTCTGTCGTTGCGTTCCTCTACAATTTCTCAACATCGAAGCTATCACGGAACAAACATGCTCCTCGTGTTCATCCGATGATAATAGGTGTTTCTTATTGCGTTTCGGTGTCTTCATGAATAATGGGAAAATTGTACGAAGTCCAAGTATATCTACGAATTTATTACAATTCTCACGACCATCTGGTCCAGACATAGCATGATCAAGCACTTTCAGTGAACCATTTCTTGACATTTTTTTCTCTCTTAACATTAAATTCATAAGCTGCAAGCCTTCGCCTTTTAGAAAACGATCCCTGTTTTCCTTAGCCATCAGCGCTGAGCAAAGGCAATTGAACAGATTTTCCATATATTCCTGTTCTTCCGTAGAGGATGGATCATGTCGCTTATAAATAGCTAGCTGTTGCAATAATCCGTCAATGCCATCAATAGTGCCAAGCATCAGACGATTATCATTGTTTGTTTGTATTAGTATGGAAAGTATTTCACTGCAATACAGTTTATTGGGATCAAAAGGTGACTTTTGTTTGAGCCTTTTAAGTAGCCATGCAAGTAAACCTTGCTCTGCTGCTTCCCTAACAATATCACTATGCATTTCTGTTAAATTTTCCACAATTGCCAAGGAGTTATGGACTCCATCTGCTTCTTCTTTAACTTCTTCGTTGAGACGTTCTAAATTTTGTACTAAAAGTGCACAAACCTGTTGTTTACGTAAAGCTTCAATCAAAATTTCTGCGCCCTCACTACTCTCTCCTGCAATATTTTATTTATGCGATTAAATTGAAAATACTAATTATAAATCTAGAATTTTTCTTACCTAATATATCTACATCGGTGACTTCTTGTAAGAGATCTACTATGGCAACAGCTATATCTGTGTTTGGATGTGCAAGTAATTCTAAGATACTAGGTATGCCATGCAATTCCACCAATACAGAGTAGAGATCTGGCACGGTCGCAACTCCTTTTAACTCTTGTATGACTGAATGCAGATCAACTTCAGATTCCATAAACTTTTCTGGGTTATCAGGATATTTGATTCTCATTTCCTGGTTTTTTAAATTACGTTTTTCAAAAACCAATAGCAATTTCTTAAGTCCAACTTCATCAAGTACGTCACCTTCCGCATCTTCGTTCTCTACATAATTCAATATATTGATTCGCTCTTCTTCAGTTAGCTCAGGACCGAAAAAGGAATCCAAAGATGGAACGTCAGGTTTCACGAAATCTGCCGACTCTTTGGCTTGCTCAATCCGTCGCATTCGTTTGGATTTTTCATCCCGCTTAATATTTCTGGTAGATCTGTCTTCTGTCGAATTTTGTAAGTAATCATCATCCTCATCATGTGGACGTTTTGGAGTCTGCTCAGGCTATAAGGTAATTGCATCGGTGGTATAATTAAAACTGTTTTAAAATTATTGACCGTGTTTCTTACTTTGAATGATAGTAGTTCACCGACATCCATATTCAATTGATATTAGTGATATTTTTATAAATTAAAAAGCTAAAATTTCACTTCTACAATGTTTACAATATATTTAATTTTGACATTTAATGCGGCATTAAAAAAACAGATGTTGCCGTCTTAATTAAAACTATAAGGTTGCCAGGCTCATAATGCTCATATGAGATTTCAATTGAAAAAATGTCGACTATGCAGTACCATAAGTAAATGCAGAGAATGTTAATTAATTCATTTACATTCTTTGCCGAATTCTGAAACCAGAGAATGTTAATAAATAGATTTCATTATGATAAATAGAATTTTATTCTATTCTATATCCTCTGATGAGGCCTTTGCGTAAGAAAGGCAAAACGATTATAATAATAAAGCAAGAGTTTCGGTAGCGCTGTTAGTAAATAGCCTGTAATTTAACCGATAGTAGGCTTGCAGAGAATAGATTAGAGTCCATCGACTGACATGGTCTGACTGCACGTTAAAATTCGATTCGGGGCTGTTTGAATATGCCATTAAGCTTGATATGGTGAACTTTTCGAAATGAGTTTTAAAATGTTTTTAAGAAGACCCTCTTTAGCAAACGCATTACAGCTTTAGATTAATATTGGTCATGGTCGGCCGATTACCATTAAAGTTTCATACATATGCAAAATTCCTAAAGAAGAATTCTTGTGTAACTACAATTGAATGGATCAAATTCTCATTTTGAATACAATAAAAATCTCTATAATCGTTTTCAAAATTGCCTCCTATTGAGTCCATTTTTAATATACATGTTAATATTATATTATGGGCACTTCTTTTTATAGAACACTGCCGTGTAGTATGTAGAAACATTTATGTCTTATGATAATTTTAAGCATTTATCAAGCAAAGTATGTTGAATTATAAAAGATGTTGAGAACATCCGATACTCGGAATCTTCTCTGAATACTTTACGTCACTTTTTTGTAAGTACAATATATCAATCATCAGATCATCTCGTTAGCAAGAAGCCCTTAAGCACACACTCATTTTCATATTTCACTCAAAAATTGTACTTGTAGGAACCGTTAAAATTAAGTGCTTAGTTTAACGGACCAGTGCGGATAATATAATATTTGTTCAGGTGCACTCCATACTTACTATAAATATACATATGTATATAAACTGAACAAAAACGATTTGAGAATTTTTCGACGTTTATATATATATTATAATCATAAATTAATACAAAATATTATTTAACTAAACAATGAGAGTATAAGAAGGTATCAGAAAATTCAGAAAGCGTAAAATCTTCAAAGGTACATATGTTCTTGTGGACATACATATATAATTAAGCATAAATATGTATATTTATACATAAACTTTGCTACATTTTAGTCGCTAGAAATTGGATGTAGAACAGAGAAGATATACAAGAAAAAAATGAAGAAATGCATTGCTCGTATGAGTATCTGCGTTAATAGATTAACATTTTATATGATAGAAAACATTTTTGGTTTCACTCCAGCAATTTCGTGTACGTTGACATACACCATTTGCTGCACTTCCTATGCAAACATTTCAAAACAAAGACGCATTTAAATGCGCAAGTTTGGGTTTGTATAGCGGACGTACTTCAGCAAGGCATCGTTTTCCTCGCATACGAATGGTTTCTTGTGATGACAGGCGACGTCATGCCAGTTGACGCCATCATTGTAGAATTGGTTGAGCAGAGCCAAGCAATTTTCGGGAGCACCGTTCTGTTTGTATTCACGATTGTCAGGCTGGGGCAGACCAATACCGCCGCTTGGCGACCAATCACCCTGGGAGCGCTCGGAAGTTGGCGCCAATTTTTGCAAAGTAGCGGTCCAGAACCAGCCATTGACGTTGGTGGGCTGCAAATCGGGACGATCGCAACCCTTGAAGTCGCATAAGCGGCCACTGGTCCAGATATATTTCACCTGAAAGTAGAGTAAAGTGGGGAAGTTAGCAGTTGATCTATACTTTTAAAGGGACTATACATAAGTAAATTATATTAAATTATTGACTGAAAATAATAAGAATACATGGATCTTTTTTTACTATAAAATATGTGAGTATGCACATATGTATATAAATGGTGCTGACACCATTATCCATTAGCAGTGCGTCTAAACCAGCCCAAATATGTATGTATGTAAGTGCTACTTACTAATTGTTAGTCGCTAGCTACCTAGCTATTGTATGGCAAGCTTAGAGTAACAGAATAATTTCACGCCAACCATTCACAGAACCAAAACAATAAACAGTTAAGATATTCGTTGTATTTGATCGGTTTGAAATGCGTTGGTAATAACAACATCAGCTAAGCTGACAACAACAAAAAAAAATGCAAGCAACTCCATTGTAGTGTGGTGAAAAGTGGCATAGCAAATATGTTAAGTGGCTCATTATTGTCAAGCAAAAGACGACAAAGAAAATAAAAAAACCTTAAATATCCGACACATAATTCATAAATATTTGTTTGAGTGCTTTTAGTAGCTTACTCACATTTACGAATGCCAGCAAACATGTTCAGGTGTGCGTATAATACTATGTAGGTATATATGTCACACATTTATGTAGATATATATACATATATACATACATATATATGCAAATACACGACTTGTCTGCATGTGTATGCAGATGTTCGCACTTTATGCATTCACTGCTTGTGTTGTGTTAAAGCCTGCGCTGCCACTACTATTGACATTCGCCTTTAACGGATCACAGCTCAGTCATAATAAATATTTGTTTTTCACTTTCTCTTAAACGTCATATAGCAAATCAACAACAACAGAAATATCAATATAAGCAACAACACGCAAATAATAACGGTGTTAAGCTGAAGGGCCAATGAGATAAAGAGAAGCGTGGAAATGCCTATGACAAAAAAAGTAATGGTGTGCAGATCTCATACATATGCATGCATGTTTGTACATACATATATATGCGCATGCCGGCATGAATTCATGCTTTTGAACATTGCTTCATTAGCTTATCGGTCGCTGCATTGGCGAATAGCAGTGGGCAAGCCCTTTTCTGTTGACACCAATTAATAAGAAAGTGAGTTCAGACCCACAGTTTAGATAGCATATATGGTACATATGTATATATAAACTATATGGTCTGCATATTTGGAAGTCTATACAAAGTTTTACCAGCTTTAAGTCGGCTGCGAACGGTTGTAGAACGTTTTGTGAAGCTCTCAGGTTGGTTATTGCCTTCTAAGAGACGAACACTTTTAGAAAAATCTTTCTGTGTTAGTCAGATACTCGGCGTTTCCCTAATATGTAGATATGCATTTTAAAGAAAATGTACAAAATAATATATACCAGAAAAATGAACAATTTTTAACTGCATAGACTTAATCATGTCTAACTATATTTAGGCACTAGTTTGCCTAAACACTAGTTTTTTGGGAACACAGTATCTCCACAGAAATAGTTTTGGCTAATTTAAATAATAAATAAATAATTTCAATAATATAAAACATATTATTTTTTCCATTGTCAAAAGGTCTATAACAGGATATCCAGCATTTCTTGACATCTGTCACTTTCAGAAAAGTCAATACATGAACCGCAGATTAGCTGCAATTATTATTTGAATTTTCTGGTTTCCAATTCAAATTACTTCTAAAATTATTTATTTTTTCAATATTTAAGTTAATAAAATTGCTCACAATTATTTCAAACTATTTGTTGTTAAAACTTCAATTGGTTTCAAAATTTCAATTGCTTATAGCTGGGGCAAATTTTTAAGTCTTAAATTGAGTACTTTCTATTGGAAATTTATTTAGGTCATATATTATTTATTAGGATCATACGGATTTAGGTATAACGGCAACTCTAAGTCCTCATAATAGGGTCCTAATTAGATTTTTCTAATAATTTGTGATACAAATTTGTACAGATATTTATGACTCATTAAGAAATTATGCTAACTAAAGTATAATTAAATTACTTACTACTTTTTATACTTTTTCTTCACGCTCAATAACTATTTTTTGTATTTTTCCAGAAAATATTAAACACGATCCAAGAGCTTCCATGTGGAAGACTACGAATTGAAAGCAAAACACCAATAATTCCTTATTGCTTTCAATTATGTAAATTAGATAATTTTGCGACTTGCTGCATTTACTTCCTTTTCCACAAAAAGATTGCGAAAATTTGCATTAATTCCGCGCTGCATCATTCGTTTAGCGAATTTTTTTGGTTTTAATTAAATTGCAACATTTTACGTGTATCCTCAGCATTCAATTAACCATAACACTTTGTGTTTGCCACACGGTTTCGCCGAGTTTATTAACAATATGGAAAATTAGTTTTTCCCCATCGCTGACCGGCAGATAAAAACAAACGATCATATATATAGGTACATAAATGATTACGTACAAACATATATGCATATGAGCGCATAAAGCGTTATGCATATCTATGTATTTGACGCCTCTGCGCCATTGCATGTGGTGGCACCAGTTGGCACCGGACAATTTCTTACAGTCTGCACATTTCGTTGCCGCGCAAAAAACTAATTTTCACATTGAACTTTATGAGTTGCGAAAACTTAAATTACAATGGCTTTTGTATGAAATTTTTTATTCATGTGCGTTCATAGCACTTTAGCGTAACAAAATGACGAAATCATTAGCATCGTAACGGAAAGTATAAAATATTTTGTTTTTTGTATAATGTAAATATGTATGATTTTTATGAATGCTAAAGAGTTGGGATTTTAGTATTGCCATTAGTGAACTCAGCATTTGCATATAATTTATGACATTGAACTTCATTTAACTTGCTAAAACATATTTTACTTAAATTTGATTAATCTTGGTGTATGTATGAATTTATGAAATAACTGTTACTAAAAGCTCTGTTCGATATGGCTTTAATCTTCTTACTGCGAACAGCTCATTAAAGTAGTAGAACCCTATCTTTTATTCATTACGTCCATATGTTTATTTTATAAAAGTGGTTAGAGACCAAATAAATTTGAGTTTGTACTACTCTTAACTGCTTGGGAAAGTGTTTCTCCCATTTTTTGTATGCTTGTTGATTTCATACGAAATATAGAGGTTCAGAAGGCGAAATGGCTTAGTTCGTGGTTTTTATAAGAATATTTTTCAAGTCTAAAAATTGCTCTGACATTCGCCGAATAGTGATCAGTTATTAGAAAAAATTATTGCGAATAGTGATCAGTTATTAGAAAAAATTACTGCGAATAGTTGGAACTCTGGTTCTTTGTAGTGGTAGTGCGACCCCCAAGGCGCTATACCACTTTGGCTGTTTGAAACGACATTTTTGAAATGCATGATTTACAGAACATAGTTTGGAGGTTATGTTGAAATGTCAACAAACATTTACTTAAAACCATATCTGCGTGTCACAGCATTAGTTACTTATTACAAGGTTAGTACTGCCTGCTAATGTGCTAAATAAACATAATATTTTCGAATTAAAACGCTGTTTACTGAGCAAACTGTGACCTTTTAAAACATAAGTTTGACCCATTCATTAAAATAACACTTTTGCATAATTAACTAGATATATTTACATATGTCTTTACACAATTTGTCATGTGCAAACTCGAATAAAATAAATATATTTAACTGTCAAAATTTGAAAAGGCTTTAATTGTGTTGAGATAAAAGAAATACCAACAATTTAAGTGAAAATGGGCTGCGGTGTCATATGTTAGATATGAATGAATATGCGTAAAGCAGCTAATAGCAGCTAGTGGCCATAAGCAACCATTTATGCAGTAACCAAAATCAACACTCGCAAGTTTTGTAAATGATTTTGAATAATTGCGCTGTCGTTTGTTGTACTTTTTTACGCTATGACATTTTTTTCATATAAAGCGTGTTTTGCGCGTTGACAACACTTTGACAGAGAAATGTATACAAACCTTTATTGCCTTTGAGCTCAATGGTAAGGTTCGACAACAAGTTTGTGTGTAGGTAGCCGTATTATGTTTCATTGGTTAAGCGTGTGTTTATTTGCGGCATAAATTGGGTTTCACTTTCCACAAAATACTTTATTTACATACAAACTTTTACTTTTGTTAAGTGCAAAATTGTTTTGAGTTGTAAATTCAACAAGACGAATTGCTAATACTCATTTCAGGTGAATATGATTCACAAGTTCGTTTCAAAAGTCTTTTGTGTTTAGATAGGTAACCTGCGCACTACTTAATACGTAAAGTCTATAAAAACTTTTGCGTAAGTAATATGAAGAATGTTTAAAATATTTATTTGATGGTCATTGAAAATATTTTTTTTATAATCATCGAATTATTTTTGAAATAATGGAAAAGTATATTGCGTTATGAATGGGTAAACAACGTGTGCTAATTTACTTAATGTTAAAATAATTTTCATGCATTTTTATTCCCATTATTTAATAAATAATCTCTTGCCATTTTTTAAAAAATAAAAGAATCAAAAGCAGGCGAATGTTATAACAGAATATTTTTTTAGCTAGGAAATGCCATTTCTGGGTATTCTTAACAGTAAAATTGTAGTTCTTTATTTACTCACGTTTTCGTTAACCACGCGTTGTTTAATCCATTCATTTTCTAAGCTAGTTTCCAATGAAACTGAGTCCATGCAACGTCTGCGGCAGAAGTTTCTGGCTGTCAACCAATCTTCTTCCACACCTTTCAATTGTGAGTCGCGCCACGAGAAGAAGTAGCTGCAGAAATTTGTAAATTTAAATAGTATTTAGATACTTAAATATTAAATTTATTAAAAACTATCTTCTATATATTTATTTTTAGATTTGTTGTATGGAATTTAAAAAAAAAATATTATTATTCTTTTTTTATTGTAAAAAAATCTGTTTGAGATTTTGGACGGATGTCCTTTTTTCTAATTGTCTATTTTAAAAAATAACAACTTGTAAGGCAAATTTGCTTTTCCTTGCATAATAAAATATTGAATACCAATTATATATAGTTAAATATGATATTTAATATTTTACTTGTACCTAAAAAGATTCATTAAGAACAATAAAATTTAATATTCAACTTGAAAACTTTAATCGAAATTTATATTATACTATTTTTTGGTAGGTATATATTTCAATCTTTTCATTTTTATTATAAAAAGACAAAGTTTTAAAAGATTTGCGAAAAATAGCAGAAAAAGTGTTTTTGTATTAATAATATTTTTAAACATAAAAATAGTTAAAGTAGAAAATATGCTTATTTAGCAATGGAAAAAAATTTATTACACTATTTTCACACATTTTTTTTATTAATTGACATTAAGTGCAGTGCAGACATTTTTAAAAGCCTTTTTCCAAAAAAAAGTTTGTTTCAAAATATGCACTAACTTGAAATAAAACTATAAAAATAATTACACCACCTGTGTGTTTTAATATTGTCACTTAAATCGAATATTTCGAATATTTTGCTTTTAATTAAAAATTTAGTAGACTGAGAAGACCGTACATATTTCCCAACAGAGTTTGAAAAATTACTCAACTTTGTAAGTTTAATATTTCTCAGACATGGAAATGGCGCGATATCATTAAAACATATACTCTTTAATTTTTTTTGTTCTTGAGATATTGTATTTTTATATTTTTTCATTAAAGTTCGTACTGCACTTTTCAATTTATCCGTTAAAAATTTCACTAATACAATTTTTTATAAACACTCAAACGATTTTATTTAGAAGCCAAATACTTTTTCAAACATTATTTATTCAATGGGTCGTCACATGCATGCTACAGAGTAGATACTCACCCTTTACCATCGGGTGTCTTTTCGTGTATAATCCTTTGAGCGCACAATTGTGGATTGGGTGGATCCAAAACGCGTCCATTGGAGAATTGTGCAGAGCTTAAACTAACAATGCTAATCAAGCAAATACCGGCTACGACGAATGCTTTCATTTTAACACTCTTTTATATAGACGTTCAATATATATTTGACACTTTCGTTTTCGTTATAGTCAAGCGCGAGCACCACCACAGCACAGCACAGCAGTCAACTATTTGTTATTTACGTACGGGCCGTAATTTTTTAAATGACATGAAATTTTGTATGTCACTATGCTTTATATACCGCCTACCATAGATACGTTGTGGTGTATTCGGTGAGTAAGCATGGTGAGTGCGTTGCTCTTTTACGTTGGCCTCCGACAAATGTCTTTGCGCTCAATTTGTATTGAGTGCTAGAGATTGTTTTGACTGCTGTCGCATGCTTGTCGATATTTTTCATATTTTTGTTGCTTTCGCTTGGAGCATTCGTATGACGATTTAAGATTATGCGACATGTTCATAACATTGAGTCGTTTTTTTAATAATGTTCACTGCTAATACCTATATTGCATTAACTTCGCTGGCAGCTGGTAGACTCAAAAAATATTAGTGAGTAGTTCGAAATTATTGCTAAGGAAAAACCAAAAAAGCAAATTTGGACAAAACGGTTAAGTTTGCTCAAAATACGTGATTGTTAAGTTTTTTTTGTAGGTTCGGCTAAACCCCAATATACATACATATATGTACGTACATAAATATGTATAAGTACGGTATATGTGCATATGTGTATTTGTAGGAGAGTAGAATATTAATCGTAATCAACTTCCTAACTTCTGTGTCTCTCTAGAATTTTCATAAAATTATTTTGCATTTTATGCTGCAAGCTCGGAGCGCAAATATTTATAGTATTTTTTCCCAAGACTAATTTTTCTAGATTTTTGGAAACATAACTGTCTGAACACGAAAATATATCAGCCTTCTTAGTTATTGATTTGATATTGATATTAGCTTTTCAATAAGATATCTAGAGAAGATTGTATCATTTGTTTTGTTGAATATTTTATTTCTTAAGAGCATATTTTGGACATATTTTTTTAGTCGAAGAGAAAATAATAATAAATTTTTCTTTAAAATTCCTTATTTTTTTTTTAATAAAGAAATGTATTTTTACTTACTCTTAAGAAGAAATTGAGGGGAACTCCGTTTCAAAATTGTGCATAAAATGTTTCTATTATTGGTTTAAATTGAAAATAAAAATTCAAAACAATTATTTCTTAAAAACGGCAGTAGCTTGTTTACAAGTATTTATATATATTCGCTTCATTTAGTATTCCTAAAACAGTTTGTACTCGTTACGAATACTGGAAAAAGTGTTGTTGTTATTGTATTTATAACTAGGTGCCCTATATACAAAGTTTTACATATTTTGGACTTTTTTACATAAATATATACACACATACAAATATAATAAAACGCTTAGTAAAAATTTTAACGCAATCACGTATGTAAATATGTGCATTCATATATGTATATACAAGGTACAATTCAATGTTCCAGGACCTTTTAAACCCCGCGGCTTCTAGTGGCGCCATCTGTCTGAAATTGTTATCCCTCAATTGTGTATTCTTCAGTGTTGTCGTATAAAATTTATATAACAGCTGAGATATCGCGCTACATGTGACATTACATTTGTAGTGTCGGTTGGAAAATGAGCATCGAACAAAGAGCCAACATTAAGTTTTGTTTTAAACTTGGTAAAAAAACGTTTACCAAAACTCATCAAATGATGAAACAAGTTTATGGCGATGATTGTCTATCCCATAGCCGTATTCACGAGTGGTTTAAACGTTTTCAAGAGGGACTTGGAAGACGACAAACGTTCGGGCCGGCCAAAAGATGTTATGAACGAAAAAAACACGAAAATTGTGCGTGAATTCATTAAAAAAAGAGCCAAAATCATCGCTTAAATATATGGAATCGGAATTATCAACATCCGCAGCGTCGATTTATCGTATTTTGACAGAAAATTTGTGCCTCAAAAAGGTTTGTGCTCGATTTGTCCCGCACACTTTGAAACAACACGAAAAAGACCTCAGAATTCAACATTCAAGAGACATCATTAAAGAGGCCAAAAAGGACCCAAACTTTTTGTTCGCCTGATATAGCACCCTGCGATTTTTATTTGTTCGGAAAACTACATTTGGCCATGAAAGGAAACCGCTATGCTGACGTTGATGCCATCCATAAGGCGACGACCGCCATCCTCAACGCTATACCGACAAATGACCTAAAAAAGTCATTCGATAACCTTCTTGAACGTGCAAAACGTTGTATTCAGGCGGAAGGAGACCAATACATTTAAAAAAAAAAAACAAATAATATTCGTTTTTTAATAAAAGTCCTGAAACTTTTGAATTGCACCTTGTATGTATAATGTCTAAGTATTTGAAATGTTATCTCAGTGCGGAATACCTAATTGATTGTGTGTCACGCAGTTTCTACGAGATTTTCTCTCATTCGCTTTTGGTTATTTTGGTGGTCAATATTTACAGTTAACTTGAGTTGCTTGTGCGCTGCATGTACATACATACAACCGTTATCACAAGCCAGCTAGGTTACGCAATTTTTCAGATGTTTCGCACAAGTTGCGAACGTTTTTGGTAAATGTATATGATTGTATGCAGCAAGTGTAATATGACATATGTACATATAAGTGTTTAGGGTACGTAATGTATGTATATATACCAGACCATATTTATATATAAATATATAGGTATATATTATACATATATATACGTGGTTAGTGTTTGGTTTTGTTTATTTGCTATTCATTAATTTCCAGTAATGGCAGTTTTTGAGAATTTTGCAAACATTGCAAAAAATGCTTTTACTCCCAATCGAGAGTTTAGGAGACAAAGTGCTAAAAACGGTAATTCGTAAAAAAAATATTTGAATATTTGTACACTCAACATATTTATATAAATATAAATGAAATACGCAAGGCGACGGTAAACTCTTATGGCGGCAAACGCTATATACTTTCATTTGATTTTGTGTACATAAACTTACATAAAATCACATGCTTAGATAATTTTTTTAAAAATATATTTATAATTATAGTTTAACAGATGCCTTTTTTCTGTGGTCGAGAAGACCTCATTTTCAATTTCTAACAAAGAAGAAACTTTCATTCAGATATTTCACTTTGCCTCCCCTCAGAGCTTGTGATGGATTATTAAACTTTTTTTCATTTTTCAAGTTTTAAAAGAGTATTCCACTTTGTAAAGTAAAACATTTGTTGGCATAATAATTTTTTTCTGTGTAAAGCGAAATGAGAAAATAAATTATGTATTACACCTGCCATTTATTCACATGTCGATTCAATTTTATGATATCATGTACATGAAACAGTTTGTCAATCAACCAGTTGCATAACCGGTTGCCGGAAAAATTAAAGGAATCTCCATTTTGGTCCTACTATACCAAAGTGACGTAATGTCTACCAACATTTATGTACTACACACATTCCAATATTAGTTAGGTATGTACTTTTATAAGTACAGTTGTTTGATATCAAATATTAACACATATGTAGTGTTTGAGCGCTGCTCAATATGGTGTTTATGATGAAATTTTTTCGTATTATCCTATTTATCGATAGCTTTAATATCTTATAAAAATATTTATTTTTTCGTAAGGTGAAAATGTTAAAAATGTTTATGTAAATATTATAATAAAAAAAAACTATTCAAAAACTGATCTTTAAAAATATTAAATAAAAGATGTTAACTCGATCGCACAAATCTTCATTTGGAAGAAAAAAGTACTTATGTTAGAGAATATCGTATTAAACGATTAAAATATTACGATTTTTCTGTTTCATCTTTTTATATATACCTTATTTTATAATTATAGAAATTTACACCATATTCAAACAGGTCAATTAGCTTATCGTGCAAATACGAATGTATATAAATAAGTTATATAAATAATAAAAGTATATAAATAAATTATTTATTAAATGCTTTATAAACATGCTAAAATCCAAAAATTTCATGAAATTTCAGTGATTTAATGATTGTTAACCACAAATTTATGGAAAGTAATAAATCCCGATGAATTAGCAATTGAACTAAAACAAGATAAAAACTGCATAAAATATTTATGCACATCCATATACTTCGTACATTCGTACATTTGTAGTGTTTTGTAGCGCATTGTGCGATCAACCAGCAATAATTACACGCATATATGTATATCTGAAAAAGAAATCTTAGCTTCTGCTGCTTATCTACAGTTTGCTTTTCGCGTCTGCCCTGAACCGTGCCAATGTTCATTCACATTATTTTAATAGGTGAATTTAATGCGCGTTGCGATGAAAGAAAAATAGCGTTATTTCACAACTACACAAAAGACTGAAGACACGAACTTGTGTTGCAATGCAGTAAGCAAGCGTGCGAAGAATGCCTGCCGGAGTAGTGGGAATGAATTCGCAGCGTTTATTATGCATTTGTTTTTCTACTTCGCTTATTAAAGGCGTTTTTGAAGTTCGCATCATTGGCATTGAACGACAGGCGAAATGATGCGGTAAAATATGCTCTACGGTGGTAAAATAAATATATATACTATAGGTATGTGTATGCAAGTGTAATAAGGAAAATCGCAATTTATGTTGATTTGTGCATCTGATAAGCTTTGCTTATAGTTGTTGTTACCGTTTGCGTAGTTGATTTACGATTTGATTACATGACCGACAGATTTAAAGTTTTGAGGTGTTTTTTTTCTATTTTATACACAGTTAGTTTTGAGTGTCAGCAAACTCACATTTTGGGTTGTGATGGTTATCTTATTTATATATGACATTAAATTAGTTTACTAGATATATATCATCTATTTTTTTATTATAATAATTTCATAATTTTGAGTGAGATTTTTGCATTTTTCGATAAACTACAATTTGTGCAGAGTATAATTTTTTGTGAAGTTTTCACGCATATCACTTTTTATTGGTGTAATATTATAGCGATGACGTTGGCCCGATTATAGCGGACGTTCCGCTTTTTCATACCAGTTTTGTAGCAGGAATAATTTTTACTGCAAAGTAGAACTTAGTCTCTTGATGTTCGCGCGACAAGAATTCTACCTAAATTGGGTAGATAATATTTTTTTGTCGTCATTATGTCACAGCTTGAAAATGGGTGAAATTAAAATAAAGGCATGCCTACTTCGCAAACAACACAATATGAAATTCCTTGACCTAGCATGTGTCACATGTTGGTCAGTATGTAAGACTTCTTAACTAAATGAATGGTGATGGTGGTGTAGGTGGATGAAATCAGTTCATGAACTGCCATAGGTCCCATATATGTATGTATGTCAATAATTTTACTAATTTAAGTCTTCGAGTTATGGAATATTTGGCAGCTCTCGATCTTAACCTTGCCTTAAGTATTTTAATAAAAAATAGTGTTAATAAATAGTCCTATGAAAAGTCATTCGCAGCAGCGTCTGCGCACAACTGATCGATTTATACGAGAAACTTTTTCATCACTTCAGAGCCCGCCGATGTTCGAAAAAACTTGTTGGAATTTTAATATAACGAAAGTACTAGCGAATATGTACATATTTTGTCTTGCATTCATTCACACGCCTACATCTGTATGTATGTGAGTATGTACAGAAAAATAAATTTCTTCTACGCCCAT